GCGTTTACCAGGTAAAGTAAAGCTTAGTTCATCGCAGTTTTTAAGCTGTTTTAGTTTTCAGGCCATAAAAAGACAGGCTTTTTGGCTACCGGAATGTAGTTTTGGTTCTGTTCTATTTCGCGGGGGAAAAAAACTGTGCGGGGGAAAATGTTCTCTTCGGTTTGTTATAAGTCTTTTATATTTTGCTGTTTTGAGTTGTAATTAAAACTCTTAGTATATTTTTGACGCTCTATCCGAATGGCATAAAGGAATTTTAAAAAATATCGAAAATGTCGAAAATAGCTTTCGACTCCACGATCCCATGTGGAAACACCTTACCATCTTGTTTTTGCTATAACTATTTTATAAAACAATATTTTTAGATGAAATTAAAACTCTTAGTATATTTTTTGATGCTCTATCGAATGACGGGTTCAAAATATCGAAAAACGGGCGAAAATGCCGAAAACTAACATTTCGGCATCAGTTTCAATAGTTTTTTTTTGTTTTTGCTATAACCTTTTTATATTACAATATTTTTAGCTAAAACAAAAACTCTTAGTATATTTTTTGATGCTCTATCGGATGGCGTTGCAAAAATCCCGAGAAAATAGCGAAAAGATGAAGTTTTGGCGAAGCATATTTTCCCCCCCGCACAGTTTTTTCCCCCCCGCGAAATAGAACAGAACCGTAGTTTTTTTTCAAGCGGAAATCCTATTTAGAAAACTTTAAAAAATCTTTGAAAATTTGAAGTTTTATCAAAGATCCGGCATTTTGGGTGAAAAATCTAATTTTTTGTATTTTTTATGAAATTTAAAAGTTTTTTTTGTTTAATAATCATACAAGACATTGTAGAATCAGTTTTTATTCGTGAAATCTTTTTTATATAATTTTTCAGGTGACAACCCAGCTAAAAGTCGTCACCACCGCCCTGTTCATGATGGCGTTCCTCGGCCGGAAGTTCTCCGGCAAGCGCTGGGTGGCGATTTTCCTGCTTTTCGTCGGTGTCGCTTTTGTACAGGTTTTTTTGATTTGCCAATGCACACTTTTTTATAATTAAGCTCGACACTATCCAACAAAAATCCGTCGTCAAGGCCGGAAATGTCGAAAACTACTTTGTCGGGATTATCGCCGTCTTGTCGACCTGTTTTACGGCTGGATTTGCAGGTTAGAAAAATTGTTCAAAATGGTATAAAGAAATCTAGGGGTTTACTACGAGAAAATGCTGAAAGACGGCGGCTCAACGCCGTTCTGGATTCGGAATCTGCAAATGTACAGCTGCGGAGTGGTTGGTTTTTGTCGACTTTATGTTTTTTAAGGTTTTGGGTTTTAAAAACGTGTTTTTTTAGATCGTCACAGCCCTCGGCTGCCTCAACGAGCACGGCGCCATCCGCGAGAAGGGCTTCTTCTACGGGTACGACGAGAAGGTGTTCATCATTGTTGGTACGTTCTTTTCAGCCGTTTACTCATCTTTTTAATTTTTATCTGGTGCCGTCAAATTCTACGTGTTTAGGCCTGCTCTCCGTCGGCGGCATCTACATCTCGCTGGTGATGAAGCACCTTGACAACTTGTACAAATCGTTCGCCTCGGCCGTGTCCGTCATCTTTGTCGTCATCCTGTCGCTGTTCGTCTTCGAGGGTACGGTAATTTTGTCGATTTTTAGAAGGAAAACGAGGTTGAGAACGGGTTTCTGGAAAAAAAGGTTACGCGCTCAAAAATCTCACTTTTGGACTTTGTAGCCTATCGTAAATCAGAAACTCCGAAAAATGATAATTTTTACAAATTAGGACAACTACAAAAAGACGGATTTTTCAACAATTAAAAAATGCCGCAGTTGTTTATGTTTCAAAAACCATTTTAGGCGGAAAAGAAACTTCGTTTTGTACTTTTTGACTTACGAGACGATTAAGCTTCAATTTCCGTGGATCTAGCGGTCAAAAAATCTCAATTCTATATTTCAAACTGATTTTAAGTTGTTTTTCCTGTTTCCTAGTTAAAAAAGCAAAATTTTAGGAGCATATAACTGACTTTTTTTGTATTTTGTTGATTGCCATAGATACCCAAAAATCATAAGACAAATCGGGACCTTTTTCTAAAATATAAATGTGTTGTCTAAACCAATTTTTTCAGGCGTCTACATCGGCGCGTACTTTGTGCTCGGGACGGCAATGGTCTGCTTCGCCATCCTCATGTACAACTCGGTGCCCGAATAACTTGATCATGCTTGTTGGCTACTGTAGCCCCCTCATATATTGTATTCGCACTATTTATTTGTATTTCTTGCCTCTAGGCATTTCCCATCCCCTACCCCACATATGTATACGTGTCCTCGACATGCCATCATCTGGTCTTCCCTGCTCTCTCGCTGTGCCTTTGTCCCTCTCTCTAGGTGAATGAAATTTCGTTTTTGTGCTTCTCCCCCGCCTACTAACCAATAAAGATGTCCACCAAAATGCCTTTTTATTTGCTGTCTGTGATGCTGCATTTGCTTTACCGGCCTTTGTGTGTGGGTTTTTTTGTAAATTAAAAGTTGTTTTGAAACTTTTTCTCCAAAAACAAAGAATACGGTGAACACCTTTTAACATCGATGATACAAAAATAGGAATTGAATAATGCAACTTTTTATTCGGCGTTGGACAGCCTTCACGGCTTCTTCTGACGTTTAGATAGATCACCCAGAAGCGTTTTCGGCTGATCGCGTCGATTGGACGAAGAAGCAGAATTACGGCGTCTGCTACAAAGGCAACGTTGAAACGATCGAATTTCCGGCGTCAATATTCCGATTCTAGCACAAATGGGGCTATAAACTTACCGATTGCTGCCTTTCCCGCATTTTCGCGGCTGCAAGAAAAATTATTGTGCGAAACTGGGGGCGTGCTTTCTTACCTGGCAGCCGCTGATGTCGTCGGTGTGCATGCGTTCGGATATAATAGCACATCGAAAATAGGTGCTACACTGAAAAGGGGAACAGGCTCTGGAAAAGGGTCGTGATGATCCGACGCTAACTACCCATCCCGGATCTTTTTTTTTGTTTCTAGTGTTTGACACGTACACGGAAAGTTGACGGTTTGTCAACAGGAAAATCATATGTTTGGAAACGGTACTCCGTATGCCCACGCCCAGTGTCGAATGCGATCTGCGCCAGCGTCGCGTCAGTATACCTAAATGGACCGTTGGCCGCTCAACCACAAAATTTACATATATATCCACTTGATTAGGTTGGCACGCACCAACGTCCGATTAACGTCCGTGTAGTTGTCGAAGTACTAAACACGCATCAGGGCTTACTTCAGTAACTAGCTGGAAAATGGGTATTTTGAATCCGATTTTTAGCGCTCGGTACGATTAAAAAAACGCCGGCGCGGGACAAACGGCTAGATGAACTTCTCTAGCTTTCTTCTCGGAACGTTCTGCCATAGTGATGATACTGAATAGTAGCCGAAAGTGAAACCAATTACCTGTACATTTGCAGACGACAGAGATACGTAATTGCTCCCTTGATCAACTTGCATAAATGTGTCAATTACTGGTTCAGGTTGCCATAATGAAGCGTAGTGGAACCAGGTGCTACAATCGATAATTCGGAGTCTGACAAGGGGCGGTTTTCGGCGCTTTTGCAATTTTGCAGTGTGACATAGCTGATTCGATAGCGCTTGAATTGGGATCTCGTAAAAACTGAACGATAACGGCCTTGGGGGAAAAGGTTCTCAAAATTTACATTTTGTCAAATTATGTTAAAAACTAGGCAAAACCACCGCCCCAAACTTATCTCCTCGTGCAGCGGTTTGTTGAAGAAGGGGTTTGTTCAGAAATTCATACTCTATCTAATGAGCTATGTCAAACCAATGGTTACAGTCGCTTCGCGACTGCAGCCATCTGGCCTTCGGGCTACCCTACATGTCCTACTCCACCGCATCCTTCCCTACCCCCATCAATACCCACGCTAACGGCTCAGATACCCCCCCATAGCCGAAATCCCTTTCAAAAACTACCTAAATACCTTCCTGATGGCTTCAGATACCCCCCATAGCCGATATCCCCTTTAAAAACTACTTCGATACCTTCCGGATAGCCTTAGATAGCTCCCCGAACCGAAATCCCTTTAAAGCGAAAATAACGACCGACGGGATTCCACGAATTTTTCATCCACGAAACGCGCGCGACCTGGCTCACTATGTTCAAAAACACCCCAACCTCCTCCCCCCAACCCTTTTACTAAGGAAAAACTTTCAAAGTTACTTTTAATAATTTAAACAAAAACTTTTTCATAATGTTTTTATCAGTTTGGGGGTTTTTGACCACGCTCTAAACGAATCCGAAGAGAGCTAAGCTCTAGCTCCTTTCCCCTTCGAGTTGAATTCGGCTTCAGACGGACACACAGAGACCACAACAAAATTATTATAGTTGTGAGATCGCAAAGATACTGGAGCACCAAGAACGCCTACTCATACTTACAGGGGCTCGGAAGTCAAAATTCGTGTGCGCGGGGATTGCATCTACTCGTCCAAAAAAACGATAGGTAAATGCCAAGAAACATCAGAAAAGTGATTTCGTTGCGAAAAAACGTAAAAGATTCGAGTAAAACTGAAAAATTCTTGGGGCGAAAACGCGTTAACGACATTTTGAGTGCGCTGCGATTACATGCCGTAATGCTTGTAAGGCACCCAAACTCTCCATCTCGGTGATTCTCTGATAATTTTCATCTTTAATACGTCTAGAATGATCAAAATTCGATGAGAGTTTTGATGCCTGAATAATCGGATCATGCCGGATCAAAACCGAACTTTTTTTTGGCCCAAGCCTAGAATTTTTACATAAATGATGGAAGTGTTTCTAAATTGTCTATAGCTATTCCTAAGCATAAAAACTTTACAGAATTTAATTAAAAAATTTAATTTTAGGTCGAAAAATCAATTTTTTCAGTCCAAAAATGACCAAATTTTCGAATTTTTCAAGCGTTTTTCTAACTTTTTAAAAAGTTTTTCCGATTCAAATAGGCTTAAATTTTGCTAAAAACAATGTGAAAACACTTTATATTTGATTACTATCCCCACCTGGGCCGGCAAAAAAAAGTTGGATTCCCCCCCGCGAATCTGAATCTGGCTATTTGCGGGGAATCAACGCAAGGGCCCGTGAACCAGATTTCAGAGCCCCTTTAAAAACTTACTGTGTGTCAGGGCTATCCATTGAAGAGGCTAGCAACGAATCCCACTCCTTGTCGGTGATATAGACTGCCATCGTTACATTTTGCTCTTCTACGAGAGGTGGCACACAGATGCCTGCAAGCGATAGGGTGACCGAGCTACATATTCAGATTCTACTATCCCAATTTCTGCCTCCTATCTCCGCTGGCGTTGAGTTGAGTGGAACTTCGTCCTGAAATTCACTGCTGTTGGCCGCGTTTACAATGTTGCTTAGCCGGCGCAACATCTGGACGTCGAAACGAACCGGACAGGCAAAATCATCCGACGCCTCGGATGTCTGACGGTTGGTCACGCTCCACGACTCCATCTTGGAGCACTAAAAAGCATTTTGCCGTGGGCTAACGGTAAATTCCTTACGTCAATAACGCGGCTTGCGGCGATGTCAATTGTCGATGCGTTGGAAATCTCGACAAATGAGGCCTGATACAGACCATCCACTTCTACATCAACCAGCATCATTTTGTGGTCAAGTACGCTGAATTTAATTTTCTTTTAAGCCTAGAATTTTTGCTGCTACGTGACGGACAAGCGGAATTTTTGGGCCGGATACGCGTAGGAATACATCGTGACGTTGCCGTCACCAGAAACACCCTAGAAAGGCGCGATGTCGACTGTAGGTTAACGGCAGATTACGTTCGACAGAATTGTGTACATTCCATTGTCTTGGAAGGCGATACTGCACAGGGTCGCATCCGGCTTGCTGCGGATTGCGCAGCTCCCGCTAAAATGCATTGAGCGGTTAAAAATCAGGGTTTACGGTTCGCTCGCTGAGAAAGTTCCTTCAATCATCACGGTGTCGAGCGTTAGCAAGGATTGAGCCAAGCAAGTTTCTGGAAAATGTCACGTTTTCTATTTCTGGCTTGGATTTTCTGGCTTTTTTCACGCTTTTTCATATCCTACCTTATATAATTTTCGTGTGTATCTCTGTTGTGTGTGCAGTGAAATAGCGTACGTGCGTTCCTGCCCCCCGAAATTTTTTTCTGGTTACGCCCCTGGGTGTGTGTGTGTGGATGTCACTTTTCAACCCTCGTCGGAAAGTAAATTTTTCATGCAAAGGCCCAATTCCCGCGCCCAAGGCCCGCGAAGCGGGTTTTTGGCGCTGGTACGCTACCGCTTACCGCCTGCCGCCTCGAAACCCAGAAATAAAATCGGGAGAACCACCAGCCAAAAATCCATCAGAATTTGTAGCAGAACTACATTCCATTGAGCTCCTTATATGCTGGAGAAAGCCTGGGAAAACCATTTGCATTTTTGAACGCGAACAATTGGCTTCCAGAACCCGCGGATTCCGATTCTATGCTTCAAAAGCAAGCCATTAAACGTGGAAAAGTAGCGTGAGAGTCCTTTTCAGATGAATCGTAGCTGCATAACCAGATCTATCCATGAATCCGTCAAAAAGAGCTAGATACGATCTTTCAATTTTCAATAATTGGATTGCGAAAGACTACACGAAACACTGAAAAATCATAAGACAAATCCGGGACCTTTTTTCAAAAATAGAAATACGTTTTATAAACCAATTTTTCAGGCGTCTACATTGGCGCGTACTTTGTGCTCGGGACGGCAATGGTCTGCTTCGCCATCCTCATGTACAACTCGGTGCCTGAATAATCGGATCATGCTCGTTTGCTACTGCAGCCTACTCATATATTGTATTCTCACTATTTATTTGTATTTCTTGCCCCTAGGCATTTCCCATCCCCTACCCTCTATATGTATACGTGTCCTCGACATGCCATCATCTGGTCTTCCCTGCTCTCTCGCTGTGCCTTTGTCCCTCTCTCTCTAGGTGAATGAAATTTCGTTTTTGTGCTTCTCCCCCGCCTACTAACCAATAAAGATGTCCACCAAAATGCCTTTTTATTTGCTGTCTGTGATGCTGCATTTGCCTTACCGGCCTTTGTGTGTGGGTTTTTTTTTGTAAATAAAAGTCGTTTTGAAACTGTTGAGGCTTTTTGCTTGAAGAAATAGTTACGCTTGACACCGTTGCATCATTGAATACAGCTGTACAGAAGGGTCAGTTACGGCATGTAACTTTTTATTTGGCGTCAAACAGTCGTCCTAACTTTTTCGGAAACTTCAGCCGGCCGCCCAGAAGCGCTTTCAGCTGGTCGCGTCGATCGGACGAAGACGCAGCGTTACGACGCTTGCTGCAAAAAACAACTGTGAAATCATAGTTTCGTTCCCAGAATTTGGAAAATGAGATAATATTGGACCCACCGATTGTTGCCCTTGCCGCATTTCGGAGGAGGTGGCTGCAGAAAAGTATTACGACCTTGTATCGATTATGTTGCTTACCTCGCAGGCGGCCATGTCTAGGGAGTGCATTCCTTCGGATGTAATCGCGCAAGCGGCAGCATGACACTGCAAACGGTTTTTTTTAGCCTCTGGCCAAAGAAATTAGGTTAGTTGACGATTCTAAATTTTTCGAGGGCTGCAAACATACCTCGAAAATTAACGGTTTGCCGACAGGAAAATAAGGATCCTCCAAGATCCACGGCTCCAATTGGGTGTTATCGGTTTCTAGAGTGATCTGTCCCTGCGTACCGCCTAGGTAACTAGGTAACTCGGTGATAGGCTGATTAAATAATCATTACGTATATTTCCATTTAATTAGATTGCTAGAGGGCCAGACTGATGAGTAGTTGGCGGAAAACTAAAAAACGTGTAATACCAGTCACGGGAAATGTGTAACGCGGGCAGGGACGTAGCGTAATACCGGCCCCGGGGGCCCGGGCCCCGGAGTCGGCCGGGGCCCAGGGGCCCCCCCCCCCGAAATCGGCCGGGGCCCGAAAATTTCATAAGGGGGGACCCTTATGATTTTGATTTTCTCAAAAATTTTGCTGCCTGCGGCGCTATTTTTTCACGTTTTTACGGCTATTTGTAGAGCTATGCAAACTTTTTTTCAATAATTTTTGCCTGCGGCGCTGTTTTCTGGTTCATCTTTTGAGTTTTTTGGAAAAATTTTTTGGGGGCCCCCCCCGAAATTTTTTTCTGGCTACGCCCCTGAACGCGGGTGAGATAAGATGCCTTGCATCACTAAATATGATATTAGCGTTTTTAAAATCGTATTATACCGCATTGCCAATATTGCGACTAATATACCAACTTTGTCAATAGCGAAAACAGCATGAAAAACACTAAATCTTTTATACCTGTTCCGGCCAAGAGACTAGAACTGCAGTGTTGCTCGATAGCTCAGCAGTCAATACTGTCTGGATTACACGGGTCGGCTCCCAATTGGAAACATATTGAAACATTGCGCTAAATAAATAATTACAAAAAGACCCTAGTTTGGACTAAAATAGCTCGCTATTGGGACGAAACCTGATTAACTGTTTGCGCAAAACGGTTTTTGTGCAATACCCTCATTTCGAGAAAGTTTGAGCATGTCTTTAAATAATCATAGCAGTTTGCACCTCCTAGTGTTTGTAATCAAGCGTTGGACCGGAAATGGTTGAGAACGCAATTTTGGAGGTGCCGGCTAATTGCAAATTTCGCGCTCCGCTTTTATGCGTACAGATTCCCTCGACGTCGCACTCCAACCCAATTTGTCATTTTTTAACACGTGCACACCTGGAACGTTGCCGGATTTTGCAGATGGGTTTGCTTTCTCGGCAAAACGGCGCACTAATGAGAGCTTGCGTGACGCAAAGGGCGCCAGGCCATGTTATTAGCGAAAAGGGCAGGCCATGCTGCGAGTTCAATCCCCGGCCGCGCAAATACAGCGTCTTTTTTGTGCACGATCCCTTTAAAAGATTGCAGCCTATCCCATAAAATAAGACCGTACTCGAGCCAGTTGGCCTTCCCTGACGTTATAAGGCGCCATTCTTCGTCAGTGAAATAGCTTTCCATACTAATGCTCTGGCCAGCCACCAATGAGGAAACACAAGCGGCTATAAGCGGTGGTGTAAACTAGCTACAAGTTAGCGCTATGTACCATCATAGTATCCCCAATCTTCCGCCGGTGTTGTGCTGAGTGGAACTTCGCCCTGAAAATGAATCCCGACATACAATCCTGTGAAGAGAAACGGACCGAACAGGCAAATCCCGCTGGACCAGACGGAGGCGACACATCCCGGTTTATCACGTCCCAGGAGGCCATTTGCGAGCACTAAAAACACCCAAAATAGCTTTTACCTAACAATTTTGCTGCGAAAAAAACAGGCATCAATAATCCGATACATCAATAACACGGCTCCGCCCTATGCCAATTTCCGGATCATCCGAAATTTCCAGGAACGAATACTGCTGTAGACCATCAACAACGACCATAATTTGCATCATATGGCCGTCAAGCACTCTTAACTGATGTATGTCAGTCGTAAACATGTATTACCTGACGCCCAACTCAAAGTTTTTGCCAGGTGAGACGTATTCGAATGTCTTTGATCGTTGTTGGTCGCCAATCTAGAAACAGTCCATTACCCGAAATTCACCAATTACCCCAGATTGAATCTTATAGGTGCCATTCCCGAAGGCAATATTGAACAGCGTGGCATTTGGCTTGCTGCGGATACCGCAGTTCCCTCTAGAATTTACTGTTATGTTATATGACAACAGACTTACATTCCGTTTTCCGGGAAAGTCCCCATAATCTGCACCGTGTTGAACGTCAACAGGGATTGGTCCAAGCAAAGGCGATCAGATCCTAGAAGATTTCATGCTCGGCGTCTCTAACATTTTTTTGTTGGGGGCTCGTCACGTTTTCTCATCTAATTTAATAATTAAAAACCGCACTTTAGTACTTCTTAGCAATTACCACTTACCGTTCGCTGCATCTAAACCCAGAAATAAAACCGGGAGGACAACCAGCCAATAATTCATCGGAATTCGTAGCAGAACTACATTCTATTACGTTCCTTATATGCTCGTGAATGCGTGGGAAAGGTATTTACATTTTTGAGCCCGAACAATTGGCTTCTAGAGCCCGCTGTTTTTGTCCTATTCTTGAAAACCCAGCCATGAAACGCGGACAGCGTGAGAGTTTCTTTTGAAATCAACCGAAGCTGCAAAACCAGATTTTATCCATCAATCCATCAAAAAAACAGCTACACAATATCCCGCACTGCAAACCTTTAAAGATCGTGAAATCCGCGTAAAAATTCTGATACGCAACGCAGATTGCTTCCAGAATCCGAAAAGCTCGTTTGAATTTTCCGTCACTTCCGTCCGCTTAAACTTTCAAATTCTGATGCTGTATCACAATATTCCAAAGTGTAATAATATTCATCCGCGTAAAGAATCCCGATACGCAAACATTTATTCTAGGTAATAATCTTATAACCTGTCCAGAGTCACCATAAATTTAATTTTTGAATAACACCCGGGTAAGGGGGCTGGGACAAGGAAACGGGATAAGCACGGGTTAGCGGAAACAGAAACAACGACGAAGAAGAAGAAACGAGGCTCTTTTTGTGTATCTCGCGCGGCAAGGAGAAAATTTTATATATAAAGCAACGATAGGTGCGAGGAGATGAACAAGCCAACAACAAAAGAGCTGCAAAGACTAGTAATGGTGGAACTATATGGGATCGCGTTTTTTTGGAAGCCGAAAGAGCGACCAAAATGGGGAAAAACGGTAGTTATAAAAAGAGGTATTTTTAATCCCGCAAAAAACTGTTCAACCCGAGTAGTCGCCAAACTCGTAGAGGGCCTGGTCGTAGATGACCGCGCTGATCGTCCGCCCGGCAAAGAAACGATTGTCGAGCTGCGCCTTCGCGTCGTCCACCTGAAAAATGGACATTAGACAATTTACCTTCTGCGAAAGCACCTTCTTAATAAAACCAATACAAAGGTGCGAAAACTCGCCTGTTTCGGCTCGGCGTAGCGGACAAAAATCTTGACGACGCCGTTCGCCTCGTCGTTGACGATCAGAACCTAAGGAAATGTAAATCAAGAAAAAAGACCAGCTCTACCTCCTCAACACGTCCATACTTCGAGCATTCGTCCTTCACCTCCTCCTCTAGGTGCTCGTCAAGATCCTCGGGGCCGACCATGTTTTTCAGCAGCAGAATGCACGAGCGGTTGATGCGCATCAGCTTGGTCATCAGCAGATGGCGAGACTCGTTGCCTCTGAAAAATGGGCATCCTCAATGTATTGTAAAATGGCAGTCCCTAAATTCTTCGCCATAAAGAAAATAAAAACTAAACGTTACAATCGAGCAAAAAATAATAAGATACCGAATCTCCAATCCCTCTTGCGAAGCTAGCGTCGCCTCTTCTGAGCAGACCTCCTTCTCGATGATGGCATCGTTCATCAATCCGGCCTTCTCGACGGCAGCCATCGCCGCTTCTGTGTTCAACTAAAAAAGAAATGATTCAATTACAACTCATGCGAAATTTACCTTCGGGCCACTTTGCGCTGCGTCTCTCCTAGCCTTGCGCTTCTCCTTCGCAGCAACTTTCCAGGCCGGTTCCGGCTCCTTATTTTTGGACTTCTTCTGAAATGAGGAAACTAATATTTATATTTATACTACTTTAAATTAATATAGTTTAATTAAATGCGGCGTTCTGTTTGGATTTTCACGCTGTCCAACACCAAAAGATTCAATAGAATAGTTGTAGTAAACAAAATAAAAATAAAATTTTATTGAACTCAATGATAGTAGCTTAAATTTAAACTAAACCGCACCTTGTCTCGACTATCCCTTCCTCCACCGGATGATCCTCCTCCCCTCAGGGCCACTTGTTGGTTGCCCTTGTCGATGAGGCTGAGCGCCAACGATTGGACGTCACGCTTCCGCTCGCCCGAGGCAGTGATCATCAACGTTTCTAAAAATAGTTTAATAAATCACAGGGGAATTCAAAATACCATCTTCTCCTTCCTCCTCCTCTTCGTCGCCATTCTCGCCGATCGGTGCACCGAATGTCGCCTTAGCGGTCGGGTCGAATTGCTATAAAATTCAGATAAGAAATTTGAAAAAAGCCCTTACATATGTTTTGATACGATCCAGCATGCCGCCCTTCTTCTTGTTCTGGTTCTTCTTCTGCGGGGCGCCGGCGCCGTCGGAGAGCTTCGGCTTGACAATGGTTGGCTGCGGGACCTGAACGAAAAATTTAAACTTGAATTAGGAACGCTAAAATATTAGTTAAATCCCACAACGTCTTCAATATTTTTAAAAGCTATTTTGAAAAATGTGAATTGGAATCATTCAATACAATTTAAGATAAGTTGTAAATTACCTGAACGAGACCGGGTGGAGGTATCGCGGCCGAAGTCTGCTCCGTCTGATCATCGACCTCCATGGCGTCGTCGCCGCCGAGCGGTGGTGGAGGTGGTGGAGGGGTGACGACTTGGGCAGGTAGTTCCGCTAAAAAAAACACCGATAAATTCAGTAGATTTCCAACCAATATTTTCGAGAAAGATTGCGAACAGTAATTCAATTTTTCGATATTCTGACTTTCGAAAATTGGGCGTTTCGAAGTTCTGTTAAAAAAGCTATCTTAGGAAAAATGTTCTTTGAAAGAATGATCGATATCTAAGCCAAGATAATCAAATCAAACGCACAAAATTTCGAGCGCCTATTATCCGGGCTAGCCGCGTCCGCAGTTGACGTAATTGCCAGCGGCTCGGCAGGCTTCTTCGCGGGCTTTGGCGGCGATGGGGAGCGGGCTCGTTTCGGCGTGGCCACCTTGGGCGGTGGCGATGCGGGAGCGCCAGTGATCGCCTTCAACGTCTGAAAAAGTCAAAGTTAGCCGGGTATTTTTAAATGTTGTTTTTTTTGGATTTTGCACCGTGTAACCTATGTCCGCAAAAAGAAACACGAGACCGTAACGTTGGCGGTACGCTACGCTGGCTGTGAGCACTTCCTAAAAAGTTGGAATGTGTACCACCACGCAATTTTAGTTTGGGCCGAGTATTTTACAAAGCGGTGCTTTTGCAAAATCGGGGGGTAGGGAACGGAATTTTTTCATAAGCCCATATATAATGTAAAGGTAAAGGTAAGGTAAGGCACAATGTAATATCAAGTATTTCTAGCGCTTTTTTTGGTAAGGTTTAATTTATTGTAAATTAAAAATTCCGTTTAATTTTGTAAAACTCTACAGAAAACATAGACAATTCGTAAACTTTGAAAAGCTGCATAAAATTCAAAAAAGTTGGGGGGAAAATCCGATCTGTCGAAAAAATTCGTTCCCCGCAACCCGATTTTGCAAAAGAGCCTAAAAAGCTGACAAAGGAATTCTAGGGGTCCTTTGCGGGTACCCCGTCCGACGAGGCAGTGCACAACAGGTAGAGCCCAGACCGGCGACGATCTGAAAGACAGGCGCTACGGACCGTAGAGTGTGGCTTGTGGACCCGGGGCTGCGCTCTCCCAGCAGAGTCGCCGGAGAGCATTTCCATTTTTGTAAGTGTCACGAAATCACACCTGCGTTGCGGCCATCGCTTGCACCTTTGCGGTGACGGCGGCGAGGGCTAGGGCTGCGGATTGTGGCATTGCGGACTGAAATTGAAACATTTATTCCAAAAAAGCGGATGTTAGCTAACCGACGACGCGGGAACGATGTAGCTGAGCGCTTCTGGTGGTGTTACGCATCGGCCCACCTAAAAGCGCATTTTAAAAGTAAGTAAATTTCCAACAAACCCTCAAAAGTTGCCCTCCCAAGTCGAACATGTTCATGCCGGCGATCGCCTCGTTCATCGACGCGTAGTTGTTGAACTCGATGTAGCCGAAGCCTCTGGAAAATGTGAATTTATAATTGTCACATAGAAAGTATAGAAAGACTTGGTTCTTTAGTCTTTTCAGGAGGGAGAAATTTTTTTTTTCTTTAGTATAGAACCAGGGTTGAAAAGCCGCTTCGCGACTTTTCAACCCTGGCCCCGTCTTGGACCCCATACTATTCTTCCCTTTTCATAATTGTCCTCCATTCAATCAGAAGACAAAAAATGAAAAAAACCGTTTCTGCCTCTTTATATAGACGACCACCCACTTCCACTCTATGCTAATTATTCCTAACAAAGAGGTTTTTACAAAAACTTAAATTTAATAGCGAAAATGGCTAATTTTTCAAAATCTGATATGTGTGCAGTCATCCCTAGACCATTACGCACCTAATGACGTATCATACGTAGCCTAATACCCGTCCCTTCTTGAGATATCCTCCGGACAGACAGACGGAAGTGGATGCAAAGTGGCACACACACACACACACTTTTCATAATTGTCCTCCATTCAATCAGAAGACAAAAAATGAAAAAAACCGTTTCTGCCTCTTTATATAGACGACCACCCACTTCCACTCTATGCTAATTATTCCTAACAAAGAGGTTTTTACAAAAACTTAAATTTAATAGCGAAAATGGCTAATTTTTCAAAATCTGATATGTGTGCAGTCATCCCTAGACCATTACGCACCTAATGACGTATCATACGTAGCCTAATACCCGTCCCTTCTTGAGATATCCTCCGGACAGACAGACGGAAGTGGATGCAAAGTGGCACACACACACACACACTTTTCATAATTGTCCTCCATTCAATCAGAAGACAAAAAATGAAAAAAACCGTTTCTGCCTCTTTATATAGACGACCACCCACTTCCACTCTATGCTAATTATTCCTAACAAAGAGGTTTTTACAAAAACTTAAATTTAATAGCGAAAATGGCTAATTTTTCAAAATCTGATATGTGTGCAGTCATCCCTAGACCATTAGCGCACCTAATGACGTATCATACGTAGCCTAATACCCGTCCTTCTTGGGATATCCTCCGGACAGACAGACGGAAGTGGATGCAAAGTGGCTACACACACACACACACACACACACACACACACACACACACACCACACACACACACACACACACACACACACACACACACACACACACACACACACACACACACACACACACACACACACACACACACACACACACACACACACACACACACACACACACACACACACACACACACACACACACACACACACACACACACACACACACACACACACACACACACACACACACACACACACACACACACACACACACACACACACACACACACACACACACACACACACACACACACACACACACACACACACACACACACACACACACACACACACACACACACACACACACACACACACACACACACACACACACACACACACACACACACACACACACACACACACACACACACACACACACACACACACACACACACACACACACACACACACACACACACGCACACACACACACACACACACACACACACACACACACACACACACACACACACACACACACACACACGCACACACACACACACACACCACACACACACACACACACACACACACACACACACACACACACACACACACACACACACGCACACACACACACACACACACACACACACACGCACACACACCCACACACACACACACACACACACACACACACACACACACACACACGCACACACACACACACACACGCACACAAACACTATTTTTTTATATATAGTAAGTTTGTAGAATGGAAAGGGATGTTTCTCAATATATCTAGCCATAAAAACTTCGAAATTCTTAGCCAAAAAATC